ATAAGAACCTGGATTGGAAAACATCACTTCTGCTCACATCTTGGTGTCCAAATATTAATCACATAGCCAATTCTAGCTGCAAGGGAGCCTGCAGATTAACATTTTTTTCTGGACAGCCTGTGCCTAGCTAAAGCAATAATGCTACAAGGGAAAGGCAGAGTAAAGACTGGAGCATAACAAGCTATACAATATAATCATGTGCTTCATTCCTTTAACTTGTGAATGTCCTAAAAATTCAATATATTTTCTGACTTTAAGTCATCCTCACAGCCAGGTCTGGTGCCACACACCAGTGACATGAGAGGTTCAGGCAGGAGGATCTCAAGTTTGAGGCTAGCCTCAGCAATTTAGCAAGGCCTTAAGCAATTTAGCAAGACCCTGTCTCAAAATAAACAATGAAAAGGGCTGGGGTTTGGCTCGATGGCTAAGCACATCCCTGGGTTCAATCCTTCCCCCCAAAAATAATCATCCTCGTATTCCCAGAATAAATCCCTCTAAGGAATGAAATTTGTTTTATTGGATTAAAGCTTGTTTTATTGGAAACAGAATTATTGGATTATGTTTGGGAGTGCTTTATTTAGGATTTTTGCATCTTTGTATAATAAAAATACATTTGTGGGTGCAAAAAGTAGCAATAACACTGTGTATACTTACATGGTACTTTGCAGGTTTTAAAATCATTTCACATACATTTTTTTTGGCTTGAGAATATGTCATAATCAGAAGCTGACTGAAACACAGTTGATGTGAAGTGTGTAAACAGAAATATCTACAAATGGAACTCTACAAGCTTTTTTTTCTTTTTTAAACAATTGCCCAAATCCTAAAGAGCCATCGGTGAGACCGAAGAAAGTCCTGATTATGGGGGAGAGAAGGATGCAGGGGATGGAAGGAGATTTGATCCCATGAACACAGGGAGTCATGTTCACATCCTCCAAGGTGCACAGGGAAGCTCTGTACAACATCTAGCACTCTGCTGGTGTTCTGGACATTTTTCATTGTTTAAACAACCTGGCTTGAATATACAAATAAAGGCTTTCTTGTCATTGAACATTCTTTGGCTTTGGATTCCTTAACTGTGCCTACCAAATTAAATAATGGTAGCCGAACACTCTCGTGGGTAAAAGAAGCACTTCAAAACCCAAGATTCCCTTCTTGGCCTGGCACCCAGGTGATATGTGTCCTGTTCACACTTTCTCCCCTAGGACTGGGGAGCTTTTACAGAATACACAGTAATTACATAACAGCAATTACCACTCAGAAGGATGAAGTACCTTTGGAAGGCAAATAGATGGCAATCCGATGGAACTTTCAAAAAGAGGTGCTGGGTGGGGGGAGTGTCACTATAAATATAGAATTTCCCAAATAACTAGGATTCTTTTGTACATTTGAAAGGTACAAAATATGCTCTCAGTTAACTTCTCTCCCCTGAACTTTAGAGCCTCTGATATGTCATAGATACATACAACATAGCTACTGAGGGCAACATTTAACCTTGAGATTTCTCTCCCCCACCCCACCTGGCCCTGGTTCACTCCTTTCCTGCTCACACACACTCACAGGTGCAATTCACACTGCAGTACCTGGAACATTCTGCTGAATTCTCCCTGACTCTGTAGCTACATATTCTAAAATGAAGCAAAGGTCAGGAAATTGAGAGCTCACATCAATGAACATGTCTCATTTGGAAAAATTCGTTCCTGGAGTAGATTTTTGCCCTGAAATTTATGCATCAGTCAGAATGGTAGCTCATCCAAAGCTACTTAACATGTACTGATTTTCTTTCTCTCTTTCTTCCTTTCTTTCTTTTGGAGCACTAAATTCCTAAACTATTAATAAAATTCACACTTATTTCAATAATAACTTTTACCATGCACAGTACACAGTCTAAAGAATACTACCCCAGAATCACATCTGTTTTTACCCTCATCAGGCTTGGGAATTAATTATGAATGTTAAAAATGAATAAGTTGAAGTCCAGATGAACAGACGTGCCCTGCTGTCATCTGCAGTTTGTCTTTCCCAGTGGCTAGAAAATGCACAACATTGGTACAGAGAACCCTAGAGATGTCACTAAGCACTTGAGTTTAAAACAGATGCTTTAAATAGTTCATTATACTCTCCTCTACCGCAAGAGAAAATGTTTTCTCGGATCTCTGAGAACGGATCATAAGTAATTGAAAGCTTTGTGGAGATCCAGAAGTTGATTGTCAGTTTTTAAAGTGCTGAACTGGGGTTTCAAATATACCATCCAGTTCCAGAAACCAATTCTTAACTGTTAGACTCTGTGGTCTCTGAAGTGTAAGTACAAATGGGAAAATTCTAGAGTGGGAGCAGGGGAAGTGGGGAGGAGTATGTGGGCCACCGGAGAGGAAATGGTTTGAAAGCTGTAAAACTGAAGGCCTGGTGCAGGTTCAGCAGGTCAGCCTCACAGGAAAAAGCCAAGTGTAAAATATGCCCGAATTAGAAGAATTAGGGTGGAAAGATATCACATCCCAATGCTCCTGTTTTCCACGTGTGCATGAGAATTCAGTAAACAGCGTGTTGCTATATTAGATAAATATTTGAATAGAATCTTGGGTGGAGGCAAACTTTTTTTTTAATTTGTTCTTTTTAGATGGACATGACAGTATAGTGTATTTGGACATATCACACATACATGGAGAATAACTTTCCCTTCTTGTGGTTGTACACCATGTGGATTTTCACTGGTCGTGTGAACATAGGAAAGTTATGTCTGATTCATTCTGCTGTCTTTCCTATTTCATCCCTCCTCCCTTCCCTTCACTCCCCTTTATCTAATCCAATGAACTTCTACCCCCCCCCATTACTGTGTGCTAGCATCTGCATATCAGAGAGAACAGTCAGCCTTTGGTTTGGGGGGACTAGCTTATTTCACTTAGCTTGATAATCTCCAGTTCCATCCATTTACCAGCAAATTGGAGACAAATTTTCTAAGTAGAATATCAAAACTGGAAGCCACTAAGCAATCTATTTATGAAATTTAACTATTGAAAAATATAAAACTTTTGTGTACCATAATTAATCCCCAAACACCCATCCTCAAAAAAATAATTGAATTCTAGAGAACCTTAAATAAACATGCCTAAAGAATATAAATAAGGAAATCAATGAAAAATTATGATCCTACTGTTGCTTAAATGTCTCTAAAATAAAGGCAGCACCAGGGTGAACCAAGCCAGATTAGTGCAAGACACAAAGAAGATCATGTTTCTGTAAAGACAAAACCTGCCAGTAGCCTTAATCCCTCACCAAACCCCAGACCACACGCAGCCATTAGCCAAAGTAAACACTGAAGCAGAAGGAGCCGCAGAATCCTCAGTAAATTCTACAAAGTTGAAATTCAAGCTGTGAGTTTGAGTCATTCTCGGAAACAATGTCCAAACCCAAACTCTCTGTGGCTTTATGATTTTGCAATTGTACCAATGTAAAGGTCGTAGGAATTTTTTAGATATGTAATTGATGTAGCATGCAAGATACCTTTGTGTGCGTTTTTTTTTTGGGGGGGGGGTAATGATATATTAAGTATTTCATAATCACAAATCAGTGGTTCTAACGTAGTTTGCTTTTAGAATGTTTGTTCCGCCTGAGTGAAACATCATTGTGGAATGTAGGTTTGAAAACCTGCATAAAGAACCAGATACAATGAAAGGCCTCAGCGGCTTCTAAGAGGCTTGCAACACCCTGAGCCAACATGGTCTGGTTCCATCTGCCTGGCTGACCTCAGCATGTGCATAGGCCAGCTTTTAGTAGGGTTTAATTTTGTCCTGAATTTGCAGCATTCTAATTGCATATTAGTTCCCTCTAATTTGTAGTCGCCTCAAGTAATGGATTGCCCCAAATGGAGTGGAGCTTGTGTGCGAGATCACCTTACATCTTTCTGGTGGATTTAAATTAGGGTGACTCTTGGGAACCTATCTGGTAAAACTGACATTCTTTTCTATATATTATCCGCCACAATGACAGGTTGGGTTGGGTCCTTTGAATCTGATGTCATTTCCTGCTTAAATCCACCCTCCCACATAAAGATCCCAGAACTCCTCGCCAAAGAGCTGCCCCTTACACTGTCATGAAGCATGGGGACAATGACCCACATAACTCAGACTCAGTTACTTCAAATTGGCCAAATAATAGGAGCAATGTTGTAGGTGTATTGGATAAAAATGTTTTTAAAAAATCCTAGACTGTCTTTTCTTTGCTTGGGATGAGATTGCACAGCTGTGTCCAGTGAATTAGGTAAAAATAAACAGAAAATCCCTCTGAGCCAATGTTTTATATTGGCAGATCATATCAGAGGTCTTTAAGAAATTTTGGATTGGGGTTGAGCAGGTACTCATAAAGGAAGAAAATTGCTTCGGGAACTTTTATTTTGTTGTTTTGTTATGGTTTAGGTGTTGTTGTTTATTGTTGTTTTGGGTTGGGTTGGGTTGGTGCTTGGGATGGAACTCAGGATCTTATCTTGTGCATGCTAGGCAAGCGCTCTACCACTGAGCGGCACCTACAGTCCCTGGAAACGGTACACAGAGATCTGTGCGTGAGTAATCCCAGGGTCTGTGCAGGGGAAAGGAACGGAGCACTCAGAATGGTGGCATAACACTGGACAGGTCACCCTTTGCCATGGGGTGTAAAGTGCCCTTTGCCCACCTCAGGAGATCTAGAGAGCACATCACATAAGTGTAAACCAGGCTGGATGGAAAGGGTCCACCTGTACCAGACCCAGGGTTGACATCTCAGAGTGGAAAAGATGGCCTGATTATGGCCTCACTGGTACCAAATCATGATTTCTACTTAAGTTCTTTTTTCTTGTGCAAGACAGCCGCGTCTCTAGGCAGCTGAGGAAAGAGAATATGACTCAGTTTCTAGCTGTTAGGTGTTCCCAGCCAGCCAAGAACACTCAAAAAGCAGTGTCCCTGCAAGGTACTTCATCCAGATGTTTCCACCTCACCCCAACTGCTGCTTTCTTCCCCCTCCTGCCCCAGGTGTCGAAGACATCGTGGCCATTATGATTCCTGAGCCAAAGGGGAAGGAGATCGTGAGCCTGCTGGAAAGGAACGTCACCGTGACCATGTACATCACCATTGGGACCCGGAACTTGCAGAAATATGTGAGCCGTACTTCGGTTGTGTTCGTCTCCATCTCCTTCATTGTCCTGATGATCATTTCCCTCGCATGGCTGGTCTTTTATTATATCCAGAGGTTTCGATATGCAAATGCCAGGGACAGGAACCAGGTGAGTAGCCTACATTTTTTAAAATAATAATAACTTTCACAAATTCTTGCAAAAGCAATCGAGATTACTGTATAAACTTTGAAAGATCCCAGAAAAGTACCAAGACAAAAACAAAATTACATGTTATACCTGCACTCAGCATAAACATAATCCGTATGTCCTATATCGTTTTCAGATATTTTTCAAAAAGTCATATTTTGATGTTTTTCTGGTATTGTTATGTAAAATAGAGATAATTGTCTCACATCCTGATGCTCATTTTTTGATAATAATTTAACTGGTCAGAGAATAAGTGGTGAATGAGGTCATGAACAGTGAAATGTTAATAGGCAAATAACACATAGGCTTATGTATTTAAAAAAAAAATTATAACACATTTAACTCTGTACCCTTCTCTCTCATTTCATCTTGGAGATTATCTCAGAGGTGAATTTGTATCGACAGACCATGCTGCCTTCTCATTTCTGATGACTACATAATTTTCAAAGTCTGCGTTTTTCACATTTATTTAACCAGGTCCTATTAATAGACATTTTTTCTCTTACCAAAAAAAAAAAAAATGTGAACATGATGCTAACCACATTTGTAAGTGCATTTATAAAGTAAATCCTAGAAGTTTAGTGATTAGACCAATAATACCAATAATACATGTACTTTCAAAACTATGATAAATATTGACAAGTAGCTAAAAAATATACCAATTTGTACTTTAACCAACAATATATACAAATTATTTTCCCATCTCATCGCCCCCCCAAAAAATATTTTACAGATTTCTATTGCGTGCCATCTGATAAATTAAAAATGTCACCACATTTTGGAGGATAGAAAGGTTAGCTGAGCTGGACAGCACTTTGCCTGTCATGCCAGAGGCCTTGTGTTTAGTAACAGCACAGGGGGTGGGGGGGACTGTCTTCACATTTTTCTTATTAAACATTGAACATTTTTTAAGTACAATAGGATAAATGAAGTTATTTCTGTGAAGTATCTGTTTATATTATTTGAATCCTTTTCATTTCCATTTTTTTTTTAATAAACGTGTATAAGATCTTTTAGGAAATTAACCTTTTATGATATGATGATCAGTTTTCCCCCGGCTTGTCATTATCTTGGATTTACGGATGGTGTTTTCTCCATGCAGAATCTTGGGGTTTTTACACAACTAACAATTTTTTCTTTTATGTAGCTCCCAACTTGTTCATAATCAGGTCTTCTACAGGCCAAGACTTCATTCTCTTATATTATCCTATACTATTTTTTAAATTTCCCTGTAAGGTTAAATATTTAGAGAATTTTTTTCAGTGTAAAGAAGGAAGTTGAGGAGGAACATTATTTTCAGGAGGGCTACCATTTTATAACTGGTGTTTGGTGATAACTGATCTTCCCTTCATATGCAGTAGCCCCATGTGGCTTACATTGAACACCCCTTTGAGCTGTCTCTGTGCTCTCAGGACTAGTCCACTGTCATCTGTCTGGAGCTGATGGATCTGAGTGCTCTAGGATGATAGCTCATGGCTGTTTGTGCTAACTTCCTTATTGCCCTCTCTGCATTTTTTCATTTTTCTTTATAGAAATTTGGACTCAATATCAGTCTTTTAATTCATAAGGCAGTTTAGAAGAAATTTATGACTATATGATGTTGAATCTTTGTATCCAAGTATAATTTATATTTTTCCTTTATTCAACTCTTCTTTTTGTCCCAGAAGCACTTTTAAATGCATATTAATCTTGAACATTCTTTTTTATATTTATTCTTAGACACTGATTATGTTTCTTTTATAAATTTAATTTTTTCATATTTTTGTATGTTTGGCACACTATTAAATAGCATCAGTCTCACCACCTTAATAATAATTATAATAATACATAGTATTGATCGTATACAGGCATATGCTAAGAGCTCTCACTTAATTTGTATATTTAGAAGTCCTTAATAACTTTATAGTAGGGGATTTTATTATTCTCATAAAGGAAGAAACAGCACAGGGAGGGTAGGTAACTTTCTCAAGGTCACAAAGCTTGTCACTAATAGAACCATGGCAGGACTTCAGAGTCCATGGTCTGAATAACTACATTGCCATACTGTGATTATTTATATTAATTTCTTAAAATTATATTAATAACACCTACAGTTAGTGATAATTTAGTTCTTTCAAATTTTAAATGTACTGTTTTTTATCTTATTTCACTGACTTGTATAATAAACACCAGAATAACCAAAAATAATATAATGAAAATATGGCTCTTCGTGTAATATTTATGGGAATATCTCAATTTAATGGAATTGGTTCTACCATTTTCATTTTATCAATTCCCTATGTAGTCTTCTAGGTTAAGGTATATATTCTATTATGTTATAAAATATATATTAATGTCAGAAGTGTCTACAGTGCTATCTGAATATGAATTTTTAATAAAGAGTGGGTGTTTAGTTCTAACAAATGCCTTTTTAATAGCAGTGGTCTAAGTTTTCTCTTTTTCCTTATTTAAAGGACTGGATTCTATTAATGAATTTCCCAGTTCTGAATCATCCTGAATTTCCAGCACCTACCATTCCTCTAATCTGTCCTAGGTTACATTTATCAGTATTTTACTTAGAATATTATTTAGTTCTTACCTTGGAACTCATATGTGAAATTTGTCGATGGTTTCCGTTTTTGTCATGTTTAGGTGATGGTTATTCTAAGTTTTATAAGAACAATTGGTAAGCCGCCCTCCACTTTCTGTGATCTCGAGTTATGACGTCCAGCACGGCAGCCATTCGCCAGGTGTGGCTGTTTAAATTTAAATTAATTGTAATAAAATATAGTTTAGCACTCTGGCACAATCCCCGTGGCTACCACATGGCTGTGCATATATATTCCATTTCCATCTTTGAAGAAGGTCCTACTGGGCAGCAGTGCTTTAAGGCATTTGGAACAGCACTGGAAGTGGCTGATTCTAATCAGCGTAGAAATCATAAGTTAATAAGGTCTGAATTGTTTGGTTTAGAGGGATAGTTCTTTTGCCTTTTCTATTTCTTTTATGGCTATTGGTCTGTTTGACTTTTTCTGTGGCTTCCGGAATAATTAGTTTTAAATTGTTCTTGCTTTTTTTCTTATTCTCGAAATGATGCAGACTCAATGTAACAAACTTTGTCAACCATTCAAAAATCACCAAAAGAAAAAGCAAATCATCCATTCCCACAACTGAATTTTCAGTTATGATCTTGTGGATTTATTCAGTAATTTATCATTTTTTGTGTACCTCTGTATGCATGAGACAAACACATACATATATTTTATGTTCTTTTTATTAAATGGTGAGCATTTTCACCATCATTAAATAATCTTCAAAAATATGACTTTTGTTGCCATGTGATAGTGAATTTCTATCATTTACCAAAAATGAGAAAATTATTTAATATTTTTCGACACTAAGTGATAATATACTATACCTTTCTCTATGGTTACCTTTCTCTTATGAGGATTAAATGAGTTACTTTATGTTATTTTAAGAAACACAGAACATTCATGTATAACAAGAATGGGATCTAATTAAAATAAGATATACTCCATGGATATGTAATATATCAAAATATACTCTATCATCATGTCTATCTAAAAAGAACAAATAAGAAACACTGAACATTTGATTAATTAAAATTCCCATGAATTATGCCCATTATTATCATCATGACGATCCTTGATGACTCCATACCATACAACTCAATACTTCCCCTTTTATTACGTACTCCAGGCCACAAATAAACACAATACTAGTTAGACATAAGGTGATGAAAATACATTCAGGAATAATGCATTTGTTTCCTCTGGAATTTCATATGAGGGAATATATATCACTTATGAAAATGATAGTCAGCAAGTGCATCAGACAATGATAAATAGAAGTGGCATTTCTTTATTTTTGAACCTATAGATAATTAGGTAGTTGAGACAAGGATGGCATTTTAAGGTTGAACTAGTTGAGTGATTATTTCAGTCATTTCACTTTGTACAGGTAGATAGTGCTTATGTATCTTTTTAGATATATACAAATTCTGTGATGTATATTTAAAAAAAAACTGGAAGATGACGGTATGGAAGTGATATGGTTTGGTTCGCAGGGTTTAAGTTGTAAATCTGCTCCCATTGCTTCAACTTTCCTCGAATTACAGGATGATAGCATGAGGGTCACTCAGTGAATTGGGATCATGTTAAAAGTTAACAATGGTCATATACTTCAGTCCTTTGGTGAATGGAGTAAGAACAAATAGTTTCCCTTAGGAAAAAAAAATATTTCTCTTGATAGGCAATGTTCTGCTCTATTCAACAGAAACTTGCAGTGTGCAAGCTATAGCTATATAAAGAATCAGGTTAAACTTAAATCACTTATTTTTATTAAACCATTATTGACCTTTAGAAAAAGTGACTCTCAGTTTCTGTAGGACCACAGCCTGAAATAGAATATAAAAGGCGTTAATTTTACATTGGCAAAGTATCCAGCCATTCGGGAAGAGAAGGTGAACTTTGAGCACCTCTGAGTCTGCCTCAGTTTGTGTGGGTGACAATTAAAGGACATGATCATGCACCTTTTCATGCCACACTGGACCTGGAGAAGACCCTCTCTGTCACATTCCCCAGGAAGTGAGATTTTTCTGAAAGTTCACAGCAAGATCTTGGCACATCCATAGGACCTTTGGCTGCTGTGATGTTGCCTAAAGCAACTCTGTCACGTTAAGTCCAATTCAGGGCAACAGTGAAAGATGATGGCTTTGGAATCAAAAGGATCTGGGTTCAAATCTTTGCTCTGCTGATTCCTGGCGATGTGACCTTGCAGAGCTACATCCCCATCCCGTGCAAAGTGAGAGCTTTAAGCCAGCCCCATAGGCTTGATGTAAGGTTGGAGAGAAAACTGTCTGACATTATTAGAGGGTTGTTAATGAGGTCATTTTCAATGGACAAAAGAATTCTTGGAGAATGGCATTTCCTCCTAAAAGGCAAATAGCTCATTTCTTACAT